GTGCGCTTCGAGCAGCTGCATTACAAGTTGGAGGACAAGGTCACGCCGTCCACCGGCACTCTGGAGCAGCTGTTCGAACAGATCGAGACAGGTGAATGGAAGAGGATGTCCCTGGTGATGTTTCTCAGCAGGGACGATGCAGACTCGGAACCGATGGCCGCGACCCTGGACAAGAACGGCACCGTGCGGGTCAAGAAGGGCTATGGAGAGAGCAAGCCACCAAAGTCCGGGGAGGATCTTCGACAGAGGGTCAAACTCCTCGGACACACCTACCTGTTCGCGCAGTTGAAATTCCCCAACAGACATGAGTTGAGGAATATAGGTCCCAACTTGTTTCACAAGTACGCTGACTTTCTCCTTGGGGAACACGTCATGGGACTTCAGGCAAAGGACTCGCGTGGTGAAGTCGTGGCAACGCCAAGCTTGGAGCTGGTGTTGAGTTATGAGTTCCAAGTGAGGAAACTGATGGTGAAGTATATGAACGAGGGCACAGAGATGGTGCAGGCGTTGGAAGACGCGATGAAGGACCCCACCATCAAAGAACGGTATTTCCTCACACCAGCCGCCCTTGATGCAGCCATGAGCGGAAGGGATCAGGGCAGGAAGTCAAGGTCTCCCCGGAGAGAACGCTCTCGGGAGGAATCATACCCCAGGGGATCGCAATCCTTTGGGAAGGGCAAGGGAGGCAAGGGACGCAAGGGCAAAGGAAAGTCCATGCACACGAAGACGCCAGATGGGCGTGACATATGCTTTGCCTGGAACAACAGGGATCAGCGCTGCCGCTATCAGTGCGGTAGGGTGCATTGCTGCCAGATCTGTTTCGGCACGCATCCTGCGCACTCCTGCAAGAAGGGCAAAGGAGCCTCACAGCCAGACACGGCTGGGGAGGGAAAAGCGAACAAGTGAAGTTCCGAGAGCCCAAGGGCTCCCTCCCCCTTGGGTGCAGAGGATGACAAGACAAGGAGGGACACAGTTCAGGTGACAGAAGGGTCATCTGAAGTTTTGGAAGAGACCGCAGTTGACCACAAGAACAGCGGTAGGGGCCCAGGCAGGGCCGAGATTCCTTCAAGTTTCACCCTGAAGGTACTCTACCTCTTCGCAGGGGCGGAGCGTAAGACGTCTGTGGTCGAATGCTTGCGTCGTCTGACAAAAGATGCGGGCTGGGAACTTGAGGCGCATGAGATTGACCTCAAAAGAGGTAAAGGTTTTGATCTCACCCAAGAGCGGTTGCAATCTAAGATCTTGTCTGACATTGCAGCTGGTTTGTTTCACTGTGTTATTTGTACCCCCCATGTAGCACATGGACACGTGTTCGTATGGCCAACCGGCGAGGCCCACCGCCTCTTCGAAGCAAGGAGCATCCGTGGGGGTACCCATGGGTGAAGAGAAGGTTCCAACATGAGTTAGACTTGGGGAATGAATTGGTAAGATTTTCAATTGAGGTTTGGGCCACTGTGGATAAACATCCTCAGTCAGTGGACGGGTTACCCGTCTTTCTGTTTGGGGAACACCCTGAAGACCTAGGGCAGGTCAAAAGAGAGGAAGACGGCATGCAGTTGAATCCAGCCAGCATTTAGCAGCTGGAAGAGATACATAGGTTGGTTGACAAACAAGGGCCAGTTCAAACTGTGGCCATCAACCAGTGTTGCTGGGGGGCGCCATGGCGCAAACCAACACGTCTGGTCACAACAGCCGTTTCGGTTCAGGCCTGGGGTCCATGCCAGTGGCCAGTCATGGACGAAGACAATGTTTACCAGGGACCTCTGGAACGCAATTGCCAGTGCAAAGTGACGATGTCGCTGGCAAGAAAAGAAGAAGATGAAGGGTTCCGCACCTCCGGAACCGATGTATACCCACCAAAGCTGGACCTGGGTATAGCAGAAGCACTGATGTCACATATCCAGACAGCCTTGGACGCTTCCTCCAAGGAGGGGGAAGGGGAATCATCCAAGGAGGCTGACACAGAGGAGGTCTCTACAAGAAAGGATTGTAAAGACGACACGAAGAAGGAGCGTGTGACAAAGATCCCTGTAGAAGAGGAGTACAGGGATCAAGAGGAAGGAGTCCCCGTGTATGAGGATACGGGGTTCAGAGGGACGGCCAAACGACCCATCAAATGCTACTACAAAGGCCGTCATAGGACTATCCATGACGGAGGAGGTCTGAATTCACCAGGCAGGTGGCCGGTGAAGGATAGGAAAGAGGTGGCTTCTGAAGAAGGGAAATCAATTTCTTCAGAATGTAAGAGGCTCTTCCTGGAATGGATCAGGGGGAACGACGGCGAGGAGGGGGTCAAGGGGTGCTTCTGGAAGATGGCGGCAGGTAAAGCCCAGGAGTCCCCCCTTCGCCGAAGTTATAGAAGGCTTCAGAGAGAGGCTAGACTTGGCTCTGGAGCGTATGGGGTTCAACCCGAGGAGAAGGCCGAATGACAGGGAATCGGAGGTGAACTTCAGGCGACTGAAATGCATGCTTGAGGCCGTGGGCGATGTGGACCACTCATGGCTGGAAGAGGTTGCGGAAGAAGGAGTATGCTTGGGGGTAGACGAAGAGCTACCCAGGGTACCAGAGGTATTCGAAGAAAAGGAAAAGTGGAATCTTAGTTTCACGGAAGAAGACTTTCGTGACACGCTTGCGGACAACTACAAGTCTGCCGAGGATAACTCGGTGGACATAGCAAGACAGGTGGCGGAGGAGGTCGAGAGGGGCTCGATCATCAGGATGAGTCTGAAAGAGGCTGAGAAGAAGTATGCGGGAAGGTTGGCGATAGCCGCACTTGGGGCGGTCCCGAAGGAGCAGGGATCGGATGTGGTGAGGATCGTCCACGACGGTTCATATTCGGTGGATGTGAACCATCGGATAAAGGTCAGGGATCGCATGAGATTCCCGACAGTGGATGACGCGGCAGGGGTGCTCATGCACCTAGAGGATCAGGCAGAAGAGGAGAAGGGCCTGGTCAGGTTTTCTATGTTATATGATGTGGCAAGAGCTCATAAGCTCTTGCCGGTGAAGGAGAAGGACTGGGGTTTGCAGGCCTTTAGGCTGCCAGGCAAAGAGGAGGAGATGAAGGAAGAGGTCTTCCTTCATACGAGAGGCACCTTTGGAATAGCGTCAGCAGCATACTGGTGGCAGAGGCTGGCCGCTGGCGTTGTCCGCCTAGGGCACGTTTTGGCAGGGGTGGAGCTTGGCATATTACACCTGCTGTTTGCCGATGACGGTTGGATGGTTGCCACGGGAGGTTTCTTTTGGAGGAAACTGCTCTTCTGGCTTTTCATTTTGGATCTGTTGGAGATTCCTCTCTCTTGGAAGAAGGTGAGAGGGGGGGTCAAAGTCCAATGGATTGGTTACCAGATCGATGTGCAGATGTTCGAGAAAGGAATCTCGAGCAGGAAGGTGAAATGGGTCGAAGAATGGATCAGCAGTCATCTGATCTCAGAAGGAGTGGTCGGAAGAGATCTCCGATCAGCATTGGGGAGGTTCGGATTCGTCGCAGGTGCTTTGCATCATGTCCGACCCTTCCTCGGCCCGCTGTTCGCGTGGTCGGCAGTACTTGCTCCAGGGACATTTGCCAAGTTCCTGGAGGCGATAAGGATCCTGCTGGAATATGTGAAGATGCAGATCTCCTTGGAGTCAATGTGCAAGCCAAGGAGAGTAAAAGAAAGGTCCCGCGAGGCGTTCAGAGTGGATGCCAAGGCAGAAGGCGAGTGCATTGTGATCGGGGGATGGGAGATCCCTCGAGGGAGCTCGAATGAGAAAGAAAGATGGTTTTCCATTCGTCTGAATAGACGCAATGCACCGTGGGCCTACATGAAAGGCGAACCATTCCGAAACATCGCATCGCTGGAACTGACTGCAGTGCTGGTAGCAGTTATCCTCTTTGGGGACAACTTGGTGGACGACGAGGGTATCAGCACGTTGACGTTGTCTGCCAGCACGGACAACCTGGGAAACACATACGTGTTGCAGCACTTTATGTCTTGTAAGTATCCTCTCTCGATAGTTGTTATGGAACTAGCCATGCAACTCAAGAAGTGCAACCTGGAATTGGATCTGGGTTGGGTGCCAAGAGATCAGAACACCGAAGCAGATGCACTCACGAATAGCGATTTCTCAGGCTTCCTGCCCGAGAAAAGGATCGAGAGAAACTTCGAAGACATACAGTTTGAAGTCCTAGACCAGCTTGTCGAGAAAGCAGGAGAACTCGACAAAGACATCAGGCTAGCAAAGTCTTCGAAGGAGCTGAAGGGCGATAGGCCTGAAGAAACGATCCGCAAGAGAAAGCGGGGTCAAACTAGATGGGAAGATCCATGGTGAGGTAAAAGACAAACCCATCATCTAAAGAGGGGGAAGGTGATGGATCCGTCCATTACCATCTGGCATGCTGGCTCAAAAGGACCCAGCATGAAAGATGACCTGACAATAGAGTCAGGTCATAGAGAAGGCAGCATGAAGCAAAGACCTTTGCGCATCCCGTTCAAAAAAGTATGATGTGCATAGCGCTGCGAAAGGGGAGGGAGTGACGGGTAGTGGAACTTGTTCCCCGGATCGTCATGATCGACCGGCGCAGCTCCCAGGCTCAAAGCATCCCACCACCGACCCCTTACTCCTCCATTTTGATTTCTCTCATGACGACATGAGGGAGGGGGAAGGTGATGGATCCGTCCATTACCATCTGGCATGCTGGCTCAAAAGGACCCAGCATGAAAGATGACCTGACAATAGAGTCAGGTCATAGAGAAGGCAGCATGAAGCAAAGACCTTTGCGCATCCCGTTCAAAAAAGTATGATGTGCATAGCGCTGCGAAAGGGGAGGGAGTGACGAATGTATGTTATGTAATGTAATGTAATGTAATGTAATGTAGTGTAATGTAATGTAATGTAATGTAATGTATGTATGTATGTATGTATATATATGTATATGATCATACACACATATATATATATGTATATTATATGTATATCCAATATTTCCAACACGTATGGGGATGATACAAGCAACACATTGAAAAATATATGGACTCATTGATAGATAATACAAGGACATATAACGATGTATATATATATATACGTACGTGCATGTTTTTGACGATTCCAGCGTACGCCAGGAACATGTGCATAGCGATTCAAGCATCATTTCATCCACTTGGAAGATCACCGCCTCGGTGCCTAGGCAAAAACCGACAGTGCCGAGGGGCTTGGGCCTTGGTGGACCATGGGGGACCAGCGAAGCCACTGGAACACATTCAGTTCACCGAAGCGTGTTAGCCACTAGCAGTTTTGGCTGACAACTTGGACGCAAGAACGGCAAGATTTTCAACAGTGCCCACATGTTGCCGGTGTCATATCACTGTCACGGCTGAAACTAGGCATGCCATGCAAGGAACAAGATCCAGGCTACACTTTCTTTGTATCACTGTGCAAGGTCATGAGAACTCTCTCACAATGCAGCAAGGTTGCTGAAATCGATGTCTCTTAAACTGACACCCAAGAGTAGGTCGTCCTTCCCAAAATCGACCACCTTTTATAGATTCGTCGAGGTTACATGGTTATCCGTTGAGAAACCACCCCACTCTTGCCATGGCGCGCGCAAGCGCGCGCCGCGGGCGCGGATGGCGTTGGCTGGTCTGTGGGGCGCCAATGGCAGTGATCCACAGGCCAGTTATCCAGCCAGGAACCCAGAAACCCGTGGCATTTTCTAGTTGTACCATATTATAGGCAGTATAATATAGTATAATATATGTATATGTATACTATGTAATGTAATGTAATGTTATGTAATGCAATGTAATGTAATTAATTTTGCGGTTACGAACGGGGGCTTCGGGTATGGGTCTTAAGTGCTAGAGCAACCCTTTAGGTCCCCAAGACACCTGCCCAATGACGACAGCTCCTATTTCTTGAGCCATGAAAAAAGTCAGAGCACATAGTTGTGCGTGTCATCCTGCAGGGGTCCATGCTGCTTGCATGTGCACAGTGCCAAACGCACTCCCCCTTGGCCACTTTGGCCAAAATCCTATCCGCCAGCGCACTCAGTACAGGCTCTCCTGCTCATAGGGAAGCCACTGTGGTTCACAGTGTGGTACCTGTTGTCCAGGATGTAGATCATCCCACCACGTCGTAGCGGCTCGCATGGGCAGGTGTGAAAGCCTCATGCCTGAAGATGCGCGACGCACATCGAAGCTTTCCGCAGCTCGGCCTCACATGATAGACCGTGCCAAAAGCGGCTGTGTAGATGGTCGGCCGGGGTACCTCGTCAGACTCACCCTGCCATGACCCATCATCTGGCAAACCTGGCTCGCCAGCTGGCTCTGCCTGGTCGCCCCCACGAGGTTCATCATCGGCAGCAGCAGCAGCATAAACGGCCTGTGATGCCGTGCTGCCCGCAGCCGGAGCGGCTTTTGGTGTCGCCCCCTCTGTAGCCGGAGCGGCTTTTGGTGTCGCCCCTTCAGCTCCTTGAGGTTCACGTTGTGGCTGAGGCCCAACTGGCCCCTGTTGCATCGCTTGAGGCCCTTGTAGGCCCTGCTGTTGTGGAAAAGGACCTTGCGGCTGCCCTGGTGGACGTTGTCCTTGCATCCAGGCTGCCGGAGGTGCTTTCGCTCCATGAGGGAACGGAATGGCCGGGTCGGCCGCCTCCTCCTCCTCATCAGGTGTGACGTCAGCAGTCCCTGGCGTGGAGGCCACTGAAGTCTCTTCTTGGCTCTCCTCGGCCGGGCAGACCGAAGGAGAGGGCGTAGCCGGGCGAAGTCGCGCCCCTTGGCCAGGCCGGAAGATCTCTCTTCCCCCCTTCTCTTTTCCTTTTTCTTTTCCCTTCCCCTTTCCACCACGTGCATCTTCTGCTCGATCACGTCGTTCTTGGATGCGCGTGCTCATCGGCACCCAGTGGTCAGGAGTACTTGGCGTAGGCACATAGTCCTCGGGGATGGCAGGCATGTCATCCTCCTCGAACTCGTCAGGAGAGCGCCACAAGTTGAAAGGCTCCCTCTCCGGGTCTTGAATTGGCGGCCCATCCGCTTCCGAGTAGGCCGGCGACGTAGTTCGACCATCACCAGAACCCCGTGAAGAGCTCCCCGTAGTCCTCCTTCTCCTCAGTCTTGGAGTCGGCATCGCCTCCTCATCGCTGTAGTGGATGTTGGCCACATCATTCCCATACCATTCATCCATTTCTCGATTGGAGTAGGCACGTCCCTTTCCAGCGCCCTTTCCTCCAACCTGTCGTCTTTCTCCATGGAACTGTTGGCACCAGATGCATGCCAGCACTCCCAAGATCACCATCGCAGTGTAGCCCGCCAGCAGCACGAAGAAGAACAAGTATGCCCCAAAGTCTCCATCTTGGTCACGGCGACCACCATCACCAGGCTGTCCCGCCACCAACGTCGGCAGAGCGAAGAGCATGGCAGCTACCAAACTACCACTACAACTACCACCGTAGGCAGACATGCCTTCCACCGGTGCTACGGCTACTCGGCTCTCAGCGCCAGCTGAAGATTTTGACCCTTCAAGGCTAGTGTTCACACTGCGAACTTGGATCTTCAGCTGGGCACCTGAACCCTGCAAAAACTCGTCATTTTTTGATCCTACTGGACCCGATTGATGCCTGGAGATTTGGTCGCCAGTCAGGCTGTTGATTTGAGAACTGTCGGAGTTCTCCTTGGCACCAATCAGCTCCGAAAGCCCTTGAGGCTTCACATTGTAGGGCACAGCCCTTTTTTCACTACCATTCGCACTAGCTACACAGCTACAAGGATCTGCATGAGGATGAGAAAAGCCCAAAAACAGTTGAACATCTTGGACAGCGTTGGGGGTCATATGCCAACCATTTTTCCCAACCTCACAGACTTGATCCTCATTCAACATTGGCCAAACAGGCCGCATGCAAGAGGGCAGATGCCCACGGCCAGGAAGAGCAGCTGGTCCTTGATGTCCAGGAAGTAGAGCGGCCCAATCACAGCCATAGATCTCCTCCAGCGTTTCAGCTCCCCCGGGACCAGGCGTGTCCCTTGCAGCACCATTGAAGCCCAGCAAGGCTTCACCACAAAGATGTTGTAGAGCTCGTCCATGAAGTAGCCCCACATCATCGTACTTTTCATCGTACCGGTCATCGTACCGATCATCGCTACCTCCTCCACCACATTCATCACCATCACAAGCCCAACCATTGGTAGTCATCCCAAGAGATGGTCGCGGAGCAAGCCCAAGAGATGGTCGCGGAGCCCAAAGGCGGCAGGTCGCACAGCACAGCAGCGGAGCCCAAGCGTCGCCACATACTGGATCACATGGTTGCGAAGCCCGAGTGTCAGGACATTCACCGGCGCCAAAACATACACATCCTTGAAGATGCTCAGCCCGAGTGTCAAGACATACACCAGAGCCATGACATTCACCATCATGAAGATGCCAAGCCCGAGTGTCCAGACATACGCAGACACCATGATCTTTTCCAGCGGGTGGTTGCCAAGCCCGACCGCCATGACATTCTCTTGAATCTTGAAGCCCTCCATCACATAGATGCTGAGCCCGATCTTGACGGCAAAGTTCAGCAGGTAGTGCGGCACCATGACTTCCATCTTTTCTCATCACTTTCGTTGGACGCACCACTTCGACATCAGACGACGTCTCCTCCACCGTGAGGTCCTCAGCCTCTGGCTCTGGTTCACCAGGACCCGGTGAGTCAACAGTCGGCGGATCAGTGGGCGCAGATGCACTTGACGTTGGAGGTGGAACATTCTCATAGTAGGTCTCCCTGGGGTTTCTGTAAATAACCCTACTCCCGTCAGGCATCACCCTTTCAGCCACAACTCCCAGTCTGGAGTATGCTGGATTTGCACTTGGTGCACTGGCCGCATTGGCCCGATTTTCTGTTGAAGAAGCACTTGGTGCACTGGCCGCAGTTGGCTGGCTTTCTGTTGCAGGAGCCCTTGAACTTGCACTTGAAGCCCCAGCACTTGCCGAAGACGGCCCAGTCGCTGTAGTGCCCATTTTTCCCACTATTGGTGGTTCAGCTGCAGGACGTTGATCTGGTTGATCAGGTTTTCGCATTGTGAGCTCGATGGAGTAGTCCACACCAGGGATCCCTTGGCGGTATCCCACCATTGGCACTCCTCCCACAGTGAGCTCCACACGTACAGGTCGATAGAACTGCCCCTGTGCCACACCAGGTAGTCCTTGAGCTGGAAAAGGTCGGAACATCCCTTCCCCACCGGCCCTTGGTGGCGGTGGCGGTGGCGGCGGTGGCGGCGGCTGCGACCGAGGAGTTGGTTTCCCCGTCCCCTTGCCACGGCCCGGCCAGCCAGGGTACATCCCATGTTGAGGATCATCCACCGTCACCCTTGTTGGCAGTGACGTGGACTCCACATCATCTTGAAGACCGTCGCCTGGAAGATCACCACATAGTGCTCCAGCCCGAGCGTCTCCACATTCTCCATGTTGTAGTTGCGAAGCCCGATCTTGAGGACAGAGTTCACCAAGCAACTGCTCAGCCCGACCGTGAGGTGGTTCTCCATGATGTAGGTGCAGAGCCCGACCGTCAGGACATTCACCGTCTGGTAGCGGAGCCCCATCATAAGCCATTCCATGCACTGGCAGCGGAGCCCGACCGTCACCACATACTTCATCAAATGGTTGCGGAGCCCGATCGTCACCACATACACTGTCACATGGTTGCGGAGCCCGACCGTCATGACATTCCCAAGAACCGTCATCTTCGGCCAGCACTGCCCGCAGTTGTGGCACTTCTTCATTCCATGGTTCACCTTCATGGCATTCACCAGGCAGATCTCTCAGAAGATCCATGGCAGTTGCGACCAAATCGCCACTGTCCCAAGAGCGGCTGTCGCCCATTTCACTTGAAAAAACATCCATGGCTTCGGGAGTGGTAGTTTCAGTTTGGGAACCCTGGGTGTTTTGGTTGTTTGGACCCTGGTTTTCAAACCCTTCTATCTTACCCCCTTTTACCAATCCATCTATTTTTCCCCTTATATATTCACTTAACCCTTTCATCAATTCCCCTTTTTGGATTTCATCATCAGAACCAGGAATTGGGGTAAAAGTGGCAAGTGCTACAGCCCCTAACCCTGCAGCGGTTATTTTGGTCAGTTCATTTTTCAACACCAGCGCCTTAACATGCTTGGTGTCCTCCTCGACCACCGGAGCAGTAGTTGTGCTGCGCACCATCTGCATGAAGTCAAAGAAGATCTTCCACCTCGCTCGAGGGTTCACCGCCTTGGTGAGGTGATCAGCGCTCAGCAGAGCTCCAGGAAGATGTCGCACAGCCCAGCGTAGCTTGTGCTGAAGCCTCTGGCGGAGGAAATGACTGCGCAACCGCAGATGGCGCGTACGCCAAGGTCCATCCGGAGAGCTCAACACCGACACTGCGGCCTGGTTATCCCCATAGATCACTCGTTGCAGTTGATCTCCACCTCCACCTGCGAAGTCCTCATCAGGAGCTTGTGTGACTCCTTCATCTTCATCATCATCTTCATCATTCTTGTCAAACTCGATCGGGATCTCCTCCAAGATGGAAATGATGCAGCCAATGGCGTCGGCAACTGACATCGCCTCGATGTAGCTGAGAAGCTCTGATTCTGCAGTTGACAAAGTCAGACACCCCTGCCGGTTCGACAGCCACTGTATTGGAGCACCCCCATACAGCCCGATCACACCTTGGACA